TTTTTTATTTTTATTGTTATTTTTTAAGATAGTCTCACTGTGTTGCCCTTAGTAGAGCGCTATGGCGTCACAGCTCACAGCAACTTCAAACCCTTGGGTTTACGTGATTCTCTTGCCTCAGCCTCCCAAGTGGCTGGGACTATAGTGCCCACCACAACTCCCGGCTAACCCCCCCATCTTTTTGTTTTGTTTTGTTTTGTTTTCTGAGATAGAGCTTCAAGCTGTCGCCCTGGGTAAAGTGCTGTGGGATCACAGCTCACAGGAACCTCCAGCTCCTGGGCTTAATCGATTCTCTTGCCTCAGCCTCCCAAGTAGCTGAGACTACAGGCACCTGTCACAACACCTGGCTATTTTTTGGTTGTAGTTGTCATTGTTTGGCAGGCCCAGGCTGGATTCGAACCCACTAGCTCTGGTGTATGTGGCTGGCGCCTTAGCCGCTTGAGCTACAGGTGCTGAGCCAACCCCTATCTTTTTTTAATAGACAAATCAGTAAATGGGTCTGGTTATGCCCTATAGATCTTGTGTCTCAACCTTTTTGCTTTTTTGACTTATCCCATTATGTGTGGCCAGGAGTTAATTTTTTTAAAAAACCTGGCAGTGATCCTGAAGCATCCCTATAGAATCAAACTTGGGTAATAGGACCATGAGTGCTTCCCTCTCTTGGGCTAACCAGGGGGTGTGGAATAAGCAGGAGCATTGGAAATTACCATCTCTACCATGGTAGGACACTGTCATGACTATGCCACTGGTCCAGAGAAATAAGGCAGGGATGAAACCGTTAAACCAGCATGCAGGTTGTTTGAAGAAATCTGTGGATTACGTTCTGGACTTGAAATGGCTAGTGATGCATTTTAAAGGTGCAGAGGCCTTTTTATCTTATAGTTTTAAGCCAAATTTTGCCATTGTAGATTGGTTCTACCTATGAATTCTTTTGCTTGATTCCTAAATGGAATTGGAGCCCTCGTAAGAGGAGCCAGAATCTCATCCAGATTTGCAGTATGGGAAGCATAAGGTACCTTGGTTGGGAATCTGCTTTGTCAAGAGACCCTGACATAGGTTGGCTCTGTGGCTACCAATGAGATTAGGCCCAGCACTGGTCTGCGGTGGTGGGAATTCAAGGCTAGAATGTCCTATCTACTACCCTTTCACAATATCTTTCTCCTCTTTGCTTTTGTCTCAAATGATGCCTTTGTGTTAATGAGGCTCTGGTTCTGAGAGAAATCCTTGCTGTACTCTCTGCATTCCTCTCTTTTCACATCTCTGCAGGGTCCACTGTAGACTCGTGCTTCCTGACTCAGTGAAGCTAGATAAGACCAGGGGACCCTGTGGGACATAGCAGTTCACTAGGAGCTCAAAACAGTTATCATTCTTTGAATTTGAGAGAATCAGAAATGTCATCTTCTGAAATGAAAACTAACAGAGAGAAGCAAATTATTTGGGAAAAGTTACTTAAATAGTAGCTTTGTTGCCAATAAAAAGAGTATTTCCTAATTCAGAGCCCAAGTATTTCTCATATCTCCATTTAATGTAAGATTGCTTGACTTCTCAGGAATTGTGTTGATTGTTCTGGTGACCGAAGAGAGGGGTGCTGTGTTGGAGCATAACAGTTCACTTTTGTCTCTGGAACATGGGGCAGGGCTTGGGGGTGCTGGCTCTGGGGAGTGGACAGCAGCAGGTCAGGTACCAGGAAGGGTGAGACTCCCTTTCACAGTATAACAGATGAGGATGTTTGTTCACTCTGTCTCTTGTGCGTTTGTCTGGTTTGAATCAGTCCCCCAGGGCTTTTTCACCCCTAGGTGAACGGAAAAGTCTGTTTCTTAAACATTTAGATCTGAAAAGACTCAGCTGTAATAGTGCTGTACTTGCTGTTCTTTACAACAAAGCCCAGAACAGCCTATTTCTCTCTTCGGCCTTTCTCCCTCTCCTCTCACCTTCTCATCTTTCTCTTTCCTTTCTTATCCACCTCTTAATGTTACAGGAGTGAACCTGTTATTGTAATCTGCCTTGCCTGGCAGACACACCACTATCCTCTTTGTTCCCTTTGTAACTTGTGACTGTGTAAAAACTGTTTAAGGTGACCCTTTCCCTGCTTTCCTCCTTTGGCAAGATCATATCCCTATTACACTCTGGGGCTCCCATCTCCCAGCTAAAGGCTCACACGGGCACATCCATTGCAAGGTTAAGGGTAGCAGCAGCCAATAAAGCTGTTCCTCCTCTGATGAGTTAAATTCACAGATGTTGATATGTGGTTTCATTCTCCTTGTGGCCTCTCCTTTACCTCCCTCCCATAAAGCACCAGCCTTGTTCAGAACCCCCTCCTTCACCATTGTGGTTCTTCATGATTTCCTGCCTCTCTACTCTTTCCTTCTTTCTGGCTTTGCTTGTTCTCTCAGACCAGGAAGTGTATACCTCATTTTTGTAGAGGTGTAGCCCCAGTACAAGTGGAACCTTGGTTTGGTAAAAGCAGATCTTTTGGTTTGGATATGGACCAGTACAACATAGTGTCATCTTCTGTAGTCTGCTTCGTGCTGTTTGGCAAAAAAATATAAGACTTCACAGGAGGAAGGAAAAGGAAGAGTCAGAGGAAATCCCTCCACTGTGATGTGCTTATGCCCCAACACCTGCCTTATGCCTCCAGAGCAGAATCACAGAGCTTATAGCCCTGAAAGTCAAGCTTCTAACACAGGAGCCTTGACCTTGGCCAGCACTTTGTGCATCCTTCTAAATAGAGAAGGTGCCCTTGGGTAATGTGATTCCTTATTTCAGGCCCATGTCTGGATGCTTCTTCACACAACATAAATTCTGAGGCCTGTTTAATTCCATTGAGCTATTGCGCCTTTGGAGGAGAACCCACATTCTCCTTGTCATGTGCCCTATAGGAAAGTTTTGACTTGGTCCAGGCTTTCAGAGCACAAGTCTGAGAGCAGATTGATTGCAAGGCCTTGTCTGAGGAGAAAATAGACTGACTCATGATACCTGGACAGACTCCAGAGCGAGATGCAGTGCCCTCTCCAGCTGCTGGCAGAGCATGCTCTCTCTTGTTTGGATGGCTCTAAGCATGCTGGTGTCCAGCTGGCCATCTGCAGGTGACCAGGATCTGCTTTCCACCAGAGCAACTTGAGTTTATATTCCATTCTATAATCTGATGGAAGAATTCCTCTCCAGCTCTGATAAAGCCTTCACGTGAAGTCTGACACGAAGGAGTTGGAAAGGAGTTTTAGTTTTTGAAGTGCCAGAGGGCAGTGTGGGATCAGGGGAGATGGTGGATAGATGATCATTGTCTTACGGCTTTTACCAGCATTTATAGGAATATGAGCAATTATGGGATGGTGTCAGCCTGGGAACCTCAAAAGGCTAGTTCAAAAACTTGCCTTTTTACAGTTTGCTTTTTTTGTGACCTTGGGTAAGTTCCTTAATTTCTCTGAGACACATTACCCACATCTAACAAGAGAAGGACCAAAGCTGCTTTGCCTATCAAACAGGGCTAGTGTGAGCAGAATACTTTGTTTGCAAAGTATCTTGATAGCTGTAAAGCATTGTATTGATGTATGGCATTATTTTTATAACCAGTGGCATTATATTATGTGCCAGCTATGCTGGTTATGTTCTGGTTTGGGGACAGAGGCACATTTACTCAGACATAGCCCATAATGTCCTCTGTGAGGTCTTTTTTCTACACAGGCTTCACATACTGGGACTGGGCAGAGTCATCTTCCCTAGAGCCCTAGAGAAATCAGCAGTTTGCTCTCCTGAGAGGAAACTTGGGTGAGACCTCTCAAATTCAGCTAACGTATTAATATAATATTAGTCCCATTTGCTTCTATGTCTTATTTGGCCCTCACAGTGATAATGAAAGTAAGAGTTTAACATAATGAAGTTTAAAAATTGAGAGCTTTCCCATAAAAATCTTGACTTCAGTTTCTTCTGAAGTGGCATATCTAGCCCTATCAGCCAAGATTTGGCGGTGGCCTGTCTAGGCAGGCGAATGCTCTTGCAGCCCCTTCTTCACATCCTTGGGTGTGCCCCCTGCATATGGAGTTTGGCTCTTGCCTCGCCTGTGCAGGCATTTAGGTTCAACCCAGTTCGAAGGCATCTGAAATCCTACAGATGTTAAACCTTGCATTTATGATGGAGAAACTTGAATAGGCAGTCTCATTTTCAGGTTGGAGCAAAGTGATCCAGTGTGGAACTTTAAAACAAGAAGTCATTCGTGAAAAGCCTTGAAAAGCTCTTAAAAGGTAATGGGCATTAGATTAACATGAGACAGTGTTTATTCAGGCAATAACTCTGATATTAATAGATTTAATAAAGTTCTGACACAAAGTATGCAGTAGGCATAAGATTCTGTGTCAGCATCTGTGTTTGTCCACAGAAAACATCTAGGTCATGCTCTTACTATTGTACCTTTCCCATGTAGTCACTGAACGTTCATTTAGTGCCAGCTGTGTTCCAGGCTTGAGTGAGAGGTTTTTGTTTTAGTGCCTTTTAGCCTCTCCAGAGGCTGGTGTGTTGTAAATATATTTTGTTTATTTATTTATTTATTTTAAGAGAGTCTCACTTTGTTGCCCTCGGTAGAGTGCCGTGGCGTCACAGGTTACAGCAACCTTCAGCTCTTGGGCTTAGGTGATTCTCTTGCCTCAGCCTCCCAAGTAGCTGGGACTACGGGCGCTTGCCACAACGCCCAGCTACTTTTTGTTGCAGTTTGTCTGGGGCCGGGTTCGAACCCACCACCCTCGGTATATGGGGCCAGTGCCCTACCCACTGAGGCACAGGTGCTGCCCTGTAAATAAATATATTTTAAACACAAGTCAGCACCAACCTGAATGGGTATCAGTGGAGACTAGATTTAAATCTAGCTTCATATGACTAATCTAGTTCATATTGTTTATAAAAGACATGAATTAAGGACATGGGAAGGTGAGAAAAAAACACGTTCCAGGAAGTGCTAACCAAAAGGAAGGAAGCTGGCCTAGCTTCATCAATATTAAACAGTAGATGCTGTGCCTGCTTCAGCAGCACATACACTAAAATTGGAACGATCCTGAGAAGATTAGCATGGCCCCTCTGCAAGGATGACAGGCAAATTCGTGAAATGTTCCATATTTCAAAAATAAATAAGCAATAGATGCTAAGATGAGATAACTTCATAATGATATTTGATTTACAGGAAAAAGTAATTCTTGGCCAGGCACAGTGGCTCACACTTGTAATCCCAGCTCTTTGGGATGCTGAGGAAAGAGGATTGGTTGAGACCAGCTTGAGCAACATAAACCTCATCTCTACAAAACATAGAAAAATTAGACGAGCGTGGTGATGCATACCTGTAGTACCATCTAGTCAGGAGGCTGAGGCAGGAGGATTGCTTGAGCCCAGGTGTTTGAGGTTGCTGTGAGCTATAATGACAACACTGCGCTCCAACCTGGGCAACAGAGTGACACTGTCTCAAAAAGAAAGAAAAATTCTTAGTTTTTTCCATATTTAGTAATTCAAACAAATAGGTAAGAATTTATAAGATTTTAACAATGTGGGTAACCAGCTTCAACTGTACCTATCAATTACAGGGTACAGTCCTTTCATGATATACAGAGCATTCCTGGAGTCAGGCCACACGCCAGGCTGTGAGGCAGATCTCAGCACATTTCAAAGCCTTCTTATTATAGCTGTGGTTCTTAATGTTTTGTGAGTGATGGACTTCTTTGAAAATCCCATGTCTCTTATAAATCAGGGCTTCTCAATCTTGGCCTGTTGACATATAGAGTTGGATAAATGTTTGTGGTAGGGCCTGTCCTCTGCATTGTAGGATGTTTGGCAGCATCTCTGGGCTCTACTCGCTGGCAATAGCATCCATTTTGCCCCAGTAGTAACCATCAAAAAAATGTCTTAACATTGCCAAATGTCCCCTGGGGGCAGACTGGAGTCTTATTGAGAACCACTATTATAGACCTCTCCAGAGAAAAATATAATTTTGCATACAATTTCTCCCTTTTGGGGCGGTGCCTATGACTCAGTGGGTAGGCGCTTGCCCCATATACCAAAGGTGGTGGGTTCAAACCCGGCCTGGTCAAACTGCAACAAAAAAGTAGCTGGGCATTGTGGCAGGCAGCTGTAGTCCCAGCTACTTGGAGACTGAGGCAAGAGAATCACCTAAGCCCAGGAGTTGGAGGTCGCTGTGGAGCTATGTGATGCCACAGCACTCTGCCGAGGGTGACAAAGTAAGACTGTATCTAAAAGAAAAAAAAACAATTTCTCCCTTTTCCACAGTAGCCAGGTGGCCCAGCCCTCCCTGGGAGTGAGTGAAATAACCAAGAAGCTGGGGTTTGTCTTTGTGCACAGTTCCTCTGCAAGCCCTCATCCAGGGTCTGGACACTCACACAGGAAGGTGTGGAGGTGCCACAGAGTTCTTGTGCTGAACACTGTGGGCTCAGGTTGCCATAGGCACTGATGTCCTTCCTGCCCAGGACTTGGAGAGGTTAGGCCCAGCATAGTGGGAGTTGAGGGCTAGAACGTGTTGGTAATTCTGCCTGCTACTCCTTCTCAGCATCTTTCTTCTTTTTGCTTTTTTTCTAAAATGGTGGCATTGTGTTAATCAGGACCTGTCAGGCTCTGGTTCTCAGAGAAATCCATGTTGTACCTTCAGAGTTCTTGTTTCTTCTTCAGGTTACCCCACTGTCCACTGGTAGCCTATGGACTTCCAGGTCCACAAACATTGGCTTCTGTTTTACTGTAGGCCTTTTTTTAGGTGTGTTAGTCGCAGAAGGCTCAAGTCCTTAACAGAAGAAAATAGATAAAATATTTGATGCATGTGACCACGAAGGAATGTAACAGGGAGAGTTTATCCTTGAGGATCAGAGAAGACTTCACAAAGTAGAGGCATTCATCCAAGCTGGATTGTCTAGGACAAATGGGAGTATCCAGGGGGATAGGACATCCCAGACAGGTGGAACCGCACACTGGGTTCTGGGGGTTAGTAAAATAAGAACAGAAGGTAAAAGAAGGTATGGGTGAGGCTTACTTAGCAGCTTAGATTTGGTTCTGTAAGCAGTTGAGTTCTGAGTGGGGAAGTGACACAGATTCATGTTTAGAAAGTTGATTTGAGTGGCTCTATAAAGGACAGGTTGGCGGTAAGGAGACTAGTTGGAGACCAGGCAGAGGTTACAACCATTGCGGTGGCCATGGGGGTAGAAGGGAGATGACCCCAGGTGTAGTCCACATCCATTACCTTGAAAGACACAGTCATATCTGTGGCTAGAGAAGAGGGCACTGCCATTAGATCTGAAAATAGAGACATAAGTTTTTATTTGAGAGAGATTTTTTTCCACTTTTTATATACATTTTTTTCCTCTAGGAAATAGACAGACGGTTGGAAAAAAAACTGAAGATCACACAAAAGGAGAGGTAAGGCTGCTGTCTGGTCTGAGGACTCGTGCTCTCTTCTGTTAGAGAGCTGGGCAGGCAGTGGTATTCTCCAGCTGGCCGTTAGGTTTAGCAGGTTAGGCTCCTGGGCAGCGGACCCCTCCCTCCATGTTGGAGACCGTGACATGGTGGCTAGGCTTTGGGAGTGAGGCTCGGGTGTTGCACTTGCCTCTAACCTTTATGGGGCCCCTATATGAGGTCATCTGATGGAAAGTGGGAGGTGACAGGCTGGAAGACTTGTATTGGGCCTGACTGTGCCCCTAGTTGCTCTGCAATTTGGGGTAGGTTTCTCTAATATGAGGAGTTTGGGCAAGTGACTGCTCTAGGCCCACAGTGACTTGGTGGTTTAGGGTCTTGTGAGGGTATCCTGGAATAAAAGACTAGGAACTTCTTGAAAAGACCTTTAAGGATAGCTTTGTTCCCTACCCAGACATCAGAGAAAGGTTGAGTTTCCAGAGCAGGTGAAAGTTGACTTCAGCTTTTTGTCTTTGGGCTCAGGTAACCTGTGGATTTTCCACAGAGAGAGCGATAGGAAGGGGGGAGGATCTCTTTGGATTTGCGCAAAGGGCCACTTGGACATTCCCCAGGGAACTCTGGGGTGCTCTGCCAGCCCGCTAGCTTTCCTGGCTCCTTGTCTGTCTGCTCATCTCAGCAACTACACTAACCCCTGGTTTCAGTCCCTTTTCCATGCCATTCCTGTTCCACCTAGGACTCGTTCCAGTTCATCCTGGCAGCGGCTGAGTTCCTGTAGTTCTTGTCTCTCCTGACAACTAAGGCTCTGAAAACAGGCCCCTGTGGACCTTAAGACCTGTTTGATTCTTAAGAAAAGCTAGTTGACTGCTCTAAGGAAGGTCCTGGTGGCTGTTTCAGAGTGGCCATTCCTTACCTGGGGTCCTTTCTTCTCCTGTGGCTTTTGTTTCTTTCCCTTCCCGTGTTGTTTTCCCTCTTTGTTTTTTGTTAATTCCGCTTCTGTGGACACATTGCCTTGATGTGCACGTCCAACAGACTTGGACAATGCCTCTCTTTTGAGCATTGCCAAGCACTGTTTCTGGGATCATCCTTCACCCCAGCCCCGCCGCTGTCCAACACACCAGAGAGCCCTGGTGAGGGAGGTTTCTCTGCTCAGAAGCTCTTTTGAAGAGGCAATTCAGTTGTCTGGTGTGTCTCTGAGGGGCACAGGTCACTGTCACCAGAAGGCTGAGGCAGTTTTGTAAATCCTGTCTTGATGCCAGGCAGGGATGACATTAGCAGGCTCCTTTGTAGTGTCTGACTGGTTTGAGCACATGATAGAAGAACCTGGCTGAGGAGCAAACACTTGGCTAAACCCTAGTCTAACAAGCTGGTCATACTCTGGTCTGTGTAAGAAAGTTGGGATCTTAACGGAAGTTATTGGATTCTGGACATGAAATGTTTTTGCCATAGGGGCCAAATTGTGGTTGACGGCACTGTGATAACTGGGGATAGAAGTCCCAGAATGAATTGGTGTTCCAGCCCCCTCACCAGGGGTTAGGGTAGAGGAGGGGTTCCTGGGGACTGCTAGAGCTGGTGGAAACTTGCTTTTTTGAGAAACCCACTTGAGGAATGGAAGTTTTTCTGTCTGGTCAGAGGCCAGAGAGTCATGGATAGAATTAGTCGGGGAGGGAGAGGAAAGAGATGAGGGTGGTGGTATGGGATATGGAGGGGGCCTGTAGTCAGGAGTAGGATTTGTGAAGCTATGTTTGCTCTTTGTCAGCAGGAAATCCAAATCTCCTCCCAAAGTGCCCATTGTGATTCAGGACGATAGCCTTCCCACGGGGCCCCCTCCACAGATCCGCATCCTCAAGAGGCCCACCAGCAACGGTGTGGTCAGCAGCCCCAACTCCACCAGCAGGCCAGCCCTTCCAGTCAAGTCCCTAGCACAGCGAGAGGCGGAGTACGCCGAGGCCCGGAAGCGGATCCTGGGCAGCGCCAGCCCTGAGGAGGAGCAGGAGAAACCCATCCTTGACAGGTGAGTGTAGCTGGCAGGGCTGGTCAGTGACCACTGTTCCAGTCCACCCTGAGGAGGAGGAGGAGTGCAACCTGGCTGCACATAGAGAGTGAGAAGCAAGCAGAATCAGGGCAGGAACCTGCTGGGGCTAGTTCCCGATCTGAGCCACATCACCTGGGGACCCCCTTAAAAGCCTGGCAGGATACTTGGAGGTGGTAGTTTGCTGGCATGCTGCATCTGTGGTCTGCAGGCACTGGGGGCAGTGTTGCGTAGAGGTCATAGGTATGGACTTGAATCAAAGTCTGCCACTTACCTCTCTTTTGAGACAGTCTCAAGCTGTCGCCCTGGGTAGAGTGCCCTGGCATCATACCTCACAGCAACCTCTAACTCTTAGAGTCAAGCGATCCTCTTGCCTCAGGTTTTTTGTTTTATTTTGTTTTGTTTTTTTCATTTTTATTAGAGATAGGGTCTCGCTTTTACTCAGGCTAGTCTGAACTCTTGAGCTCAAGCAATCCACCTGCCCTTGGCCTCCCAGAGGGCTAGGATTATAGGCGTGAGCCACCGCACCCAGCCCACTTACCTCTTCTCTTTTTTTTTTGAGATAAGAGTCTCAAGCTGTTGCCCTAGTAGAGTGCTGTGACATCACAGCTCATAGCAACCTCTCAATTCTTTTTTATTTTTTGAGACAGAGCCTCAAGCTGTCACCCTGGGTAGAGGACCATGGCATC